TGGGGAGAGGGCCAAGGGCCTCAGCCCCCCCCCCCCCCAAACTCAGCCCCCCCCCCCCCAATATCCTCATCCAGTCCAGCAACAACCACCAGACTGCTGTCGAAAGTGCTCTGGGCTCCCTAGCTGGGTGGTGGGGGTGGTGGGTTGAGGGCCTCAGCCATGCCCCTGCCCTGTGTCTGCATTCAGCCCAGCAACATCCAACAGGCTGCAGTGGGGAAGCACCCAGGCTCTCAAGCTGGGGTAGGGGGCTGAGGACCTCAGCCCCATCCCCTCAATGTCCACATCCAGCCCAGTGACGACCACCAGGCCACTGCTGGAAGCACCCCGGGCTCCTGTGCTGTGGGGGCACCGACGGCCTCAGCCACAACTCCCCAACATCTGCATCCAGTCAAGTGATGACCACTGAGCTACTGCCAGAATCATCCCAGGGTCCCGAGCCAGGGTGGTGGGGGACCAAGGACCTCAGCCACACCCCTGGACTTCCACACCCAGCCCAGTGACAACTACCAAGCCACTGCTGGAAGTGTCCAAGGCTCCCAGGGTGGGGGGCACCGAGGGTCTCAGCCATGCACCTCCAAAGTCTGCATCTAGCCCAGCCATGACTGAGTCGGGCTGGAAGCCCCCTGGGCTCCCCTGCTGGAATGAAGGGGCTACCATGGGCCTTGACCACGTCCCCCCTTCTTCCTCCTCTCACCCTATCCCCTTCCCTTTTCTCCTCCACCTGTCCCCGAACTGCTCAACAACATCTTAGAATGTAACTGTAATAATAATAATTAATTAATTAATCAATTGAAAAAATCTCTATATTACATATAATACCTAATAAAAGGTAAATGCTAGGTAATTAGTTGTTATACTGTATTGTTTGGGGGATAATGACAAGGGAAAAAAGGCTGTACATGTTCATTACATACACTATTTTTTTTTTTCCCAAATATTTTCAATCTGCAGTTGGTTGACTCCGTGGGTAGGGAACCCATGGATGCAGAAGGCTAACTGTACCCTACAGTAAAAGTTTTGTTAAGCGAATAAGAAATCAAATTTTGTAGTACTCAAACAAGAATCTATTTACATCTACAAACTTGTACATAATCATACCTATACTTGTCTGTGCTTTTAGTCAAATAATGGAAAGTAGGCCATGAA